CCTACTATAGTTGTCATTGTATGTTTCTGGGAAAACAGATGTTGTGTGGTCAGCGTCTGTCACAACTTTTAATTGCTGTTTTTGATCCAGCAATTATTCATTTACAAATTAAGTACTTATGTTGTTAGCTATTTACATACCGTCACATAAAATATTAATTACCCCTTGTTCGTTTCCTCGTCCTCCCCCACTCTTCAGGTCAAGTATGGCTATGTGGCTCTTCAGACTTGAGCTGGCTCTCCAATTAACCCTCTTGCATTGGAGGATGCTTGTTACGGACCCGGCGGTTCAACACAACCCGTTGATGGTGAAACTGAATAATTTAAAGTGCTGTCACAAGTGTCATGTTGTTGTACGTTACGTCAAGAAAAGCTGAGGGCGACTACAAGCCACCAGGGATTCCTGTGGAAGGATCCCTGGTCGTGTGACAGCTTCTGTGGAGGAGGTTGCAATATTGAGATCGGAGTGGGTTTTCTGTGCGTGGGGAATATATGTGATTATGTGTGGGCTATATATTGTGTAAGGTTATTAGATACATTAAAGGTATGAATGCATATGTTGGTGACTGCAAATATTTGTCTGTGTGGCGAAAACAGGTTCCGCCGCAGTGTATTAAGGAGTCATCCGTCATGTCTCCTACAAGACTGAATCAGCTTCCCGAAAAGCAGTGACTCATACGGAGATTTACACAGTTGAGAGTGCCAAAGCCACCGTATGCGAAACAGAATAAGCTGTTGTTCGTTTATCATCGAGGCGTCAATATGCGCTTAGCCAAAGTATCTTGGTTGTACTGGCCTCATTATTTATTAAAATCTTAATCGGCTGTTCTGATTGGTTAAGTCATTTCCCATGATTCTCGGTTGGTGCTATCGATTGTTACTGATGATACCCCCTCGGGCCCGAACTAATTAGTGTTTCTCTTTCTGTCTCTTTGATTCCTGCTGTTTACGATGGGCCAGTGGTGACAAATATTTCCTGTGGGAAGCGTCATGATGTTCTTTTCGCAGTTTTTATCCATCTTCTCGCTCTACTCTGTTTCTGACACTCTCTTTATAGCCGCCTGTGAATTAAGTGTCAAATTAGTGCTTACTTTGATGCTCTGGTATGAATGAGGTTTTGATGATCTCTTGAGGTTATCAAGCTGATGGTTTGCGTCACTGTTATTTGGGAGCCTGTAATTCGAGCCAGTCCAAGCTGTTTTCATATTCTAATGGAGATCATTTCCATTATTTAATAAAAACACATGCAGACCTGGGTGGTTGTCATGACAGTATGACATGCTATACTCATTTTGAACAATATTACTTTTTAAAATGATTTATTTTATTGTAGTCGTTAACAAAACTGGAGCAAATTGTTTATAATTATTATACATGCGGTTTTATGGCCTCAAAAGCTGACCAGTCATGTTTTTTAAATGAATTTATATATATATATATATATATATATACTGTATATAATGTCTTTTCTATTGTGCCTTTCTCATTTCTCTTTTTCCATCCTCATTCCATATTTCTATTTGTCCCTTTTTCACCCTTAAATCCATCATTCTCCCACATTCTTCTTCCCAGAATGGAAAGATAAAAACGCTACATCTGAATCTGTGGGTGGCACTGAAATACAAAGCAACCAATTACATTTACACAGAGAGCGTGTCTCTGTTCTTCCTCCTCCTCGTCCTCCTCCTCCTATCTCTCTTTTTCCCTTCCTCTCCCCCAGTCTTGTTTTCCCACCTTTCTTTCTGCCATATGCCCTTTTTTTCCACTGTCACATGCGTTTCCACATGCCTGCCCCTCATTTCAGCCTTCACACTCAAGAAGCTGAGCCACATTTTCAAGTTCGAAGAGTCCAGCTTTCAAACCAGTCCTCATGCAGACAGCTGCCGCATGCAGAGCATTACTCATATCCTTATGAAAAGCCTTTTATACCCGAGGCTGGTGTCAGCTTAGTAGGTGACATTAAGAGGCTAAGAGTAGTCCGCACTGGGCCTGTCATTTCTCAAATTGAAAAAGAAGTGAGAGAAACTGACAGCTTGATCCGGAAGCAGGAGGAGTTACGACACTAAAGGAACCATCGTCCATCTCCAGAAGGGCTTTCACATGTTCATTTGTGGGAAAATGGGGTCATATCATCAGAAATTTAATTTATTTGTTCTTTTGTACATAAACAAATTTAATGTGCCAGATGTGAGCTGAGAAAAGTGCAGTCACACCACATGAAAAGGATATTATTTTACTTAAAGTCTTAAAGGCACAGTAGCAAGTAAACTCTTAGACCCCGTTTACACCTGGTATTAAAATGCGATCTGTATCCAGATAAGTTATCCGGATAATAAGTACTGATTCCATTTACACCTGGCCACATAAATGTGTTTTTGCAAAACGGATATAAATCCGATCTTCACCTCCTGCGTTATATGCAGATTTATTGGATTGCACGCCACCAAAAGCAACAGATCTGAGCGGCATTTTATTGATCATCAGCTAATTTCCAAATCCGAGACATCAATAAGAGAGAGTGGCAACAGGCCTGGTAAGATAATTTCGTTTCTTTACTTGAAGATGTGTTAACTGCGTCTGTGACTTACTTTCACTTTTATTTGCGATGTTTGCACGTTGAATAGACGCTCAGCTGCTCATCTGCGGTGATGCGTGTCGCGTGTCGCATCTGACTAGGCTATAACATGACATAGCCTATATAACACGCTCTCACTCGTTTATTTTTTAGCATTTTTGGGAGGAGTAAAATATACATATGTGGTTTCAACAACCAGATTGCGTTTACACCTAGTAAAGATCCGGACACAATGCAAGCCAGACTACCTCCAGATGTGGTCAGGCAGATCCGATCACGATCCGATCACAACGCGTTTACACCTTGCATTAACATGCGTTTTTTATTATCCGGATAACTTATCTGGATACAGATCGCATTTTAATACCAGGTGTAAACGGGGTCTTATTAGTGTCAGTGTGATTGCCTCTCATGGTCATGTTCATGAAAAACGAAATTATGGTTATTTTAACTCAAAAAAAAAAAAAAAAAACCTGGCTAAAATAATTATTACATCAAAATAAAAGGATAAATATTGTGATATAATGTTAACATGTAGAATATGCAGCTGTATGCATGTTGACTTTAAAGTGTTAGTTCACCCAAAAATGAAAATTCGGTCAGTGTTTACTCACCCTCATGTTGTTCCAACCCCGTAAGACCTTCGTTCATCTTCGGAACACAAATTAAGATATTTTTGATTAAATCTGAGAGCTGGATCACTCCTCCATACTAGTCCATAGGCTTCTTGAGGAATTGAAACTTGCCGGCCTCGAAAAGTTATTAAAGACATCGTTAAAATAGTCCAAGTGACTACAGTGGCTCAATCTTAACTTCATCAAACGACGAGAACACTTTTTGTGCGCAAAAAACAACAACTTTATTTCAACTATTCATTTCCTTCTCTCTGGGACTCGAGTCAGGATACTAGTTTAACAGCGTATGATCTGTTATTGTACGTCACACACATCACACACAACCAGCGTCGGCCAATAGTGAGCCTACGTGTGACGTAGTTCTACGCTATCACACTACGTTAACTGACTAGAGGCCCATAGAGAAGGAAGTGAATAGTTGAAATAAAGTCGTTATTTTTGTTTTGTTTTTTGCGCACAAAAAGTGTTCTCGTCGCTTTATAAAGTTAAGATTGAGCCACTGAAGTCACTTGGACTATTTTAACAATGTCTTTATTAACTTTTCTATGCCGGGAAGTTTCAATTCCTCAAGAAGCCTATGGACTAGTATGCAGGAGTGATCCGCTCTCAGATTTCATAAAAAATTTCTTAATTTGTGTTCCAAAGATGAACGAAGGTCTTACGGGGTTGGAACAACATGAGGGTGAGTAAATACTGACAGAATTTTCATTTTTGGGTGAACTATCCCTTTAATGCTTGCTGGTATGCTCTGACGTTCTCTTATAAAAGAGACATCACGATGGGCTCGATTAATTTAGGATTTATGTACTGAAAGGATTGTAGTAAATGCTAAATATGATCAGCTGCTGACAGGGTCACTGGATTATGCTTTCCTGGATTACACTGGTGATACTTTAGTGGTTTTGTCAGTAGAACCTCAATGCAGATCATGAGATCCACGGGGAGGAGTCGGATCACGATCCAAGGGGTGGTGATGGGTAGGATTAGGGTTGGGTTTAGGGATTAGGGGTTGGTTTAGGGATCAGGGGGCGGAGTTGGTTAGGTTTAGGTATATGTAAAGTGGGAGGATTTGGATCTGGATCCGACTCCTCCCCATGGATTTCATGTTCCGCAGTGAGGACCATCTCGGTTTTGTAGCCCGATGATGACTAAGCTGATTTTGGGAGAAATCTGTGGAATTTTGTTGAATTAATTTAATCTGGTGAAATGTGTTAAATAGAGGTGAGAGTACTAGTTTTTTCGAGTTTTTTTTTTTAAGAACTTTTATATCTTTTATAACTTTTTTTTTCTTTTTCAAATGTGTATTTTTACCTATACATTGCCAAATGATCTGTCAGTCAGTAAAGTTTCAGAAGCCCTAAAGGGATAGTTTACCCAAAATCTAAAATGATAACAGACTTTTTTTTGTCTTTCTGTGGATCATAAAATAGGATATTTTGATCATTTCTTTTGCTCATGCAGTGGAAGTCAATGGGCAACAAAACTGTCAATAGGCAACAAAACTGTTTGGTTAACAGCATTCTTCCAAAGATCTTCTTTTGTGTTTTAGTAGAACTTTCTTTTTTTGGGTGAACTATCCCTTCAAGTACTCAACTTCCTCAGAAGATTCTTCAGATTCTTCAGACTGATTTAATCCTGTACTTGGTTTTGTAGTCTCTTTAAATGATTCATTAATAGAACGGGTCATTTGCTTGTGTCTTCGCAGCATGTCGTGCCTAACACCATCCTTCAGCTGTGACTGTATTCAGAATGTGGGCCTGCCAATGACCAATATGTGTGTGTTTTTTGCAGAGCAGCTCGTGCATTTGGAGAGTACCTTCACACCCATCCTGAGGACTGCAACGGATCAGGTCAGATATCTCCATTCCTCTTTCTTTCTTGCGGTTTCTCTCAGCAGCTGTTCTTTTTTATCTGGTCCATTTAGAGCCTGTGGTGTTCTCAGACTCCAGGCTCCTTCATGTTTCATGAGCCACTTCTTGATGTAGCGTGTGTTGTCTCATCTGTCTTTTTCTTTGTGCATCTCTTGCTGTTTCTCACTTGTCCCTCTTTATTTCTCTCTGCATCTGTCCTAATGTTTGATTTGAAGATCACTTACTGTCTGACACCCTCGTTGGCCGCGACTCTGATTCCCCAGACAGCCTGTGTGCACAGAACAACAACTTCCACAGCTGCACCCTCCAGGGCTCTTCCATCAGCGACGACCCCAGCTTGATCAACTCTCTCTTGGAACCGCCACCTCCGACGACTTCCTCCAAGAGCCGACTCTCCCTAGAGCGCAGCTTCTCAGCAGAGGAAGACCAGCAGAAGTGTGTGGAGTGCTCCCTGCAGCCTGCCCGGGTCTATACCATCACTGGAGAGAGCGGCATGCTGGGAACCAGCCGGGGAAGCAAGGAGAACCTGGAGCTTGAGGTCTTGAAAGAGGGGCGGGAGGCGTGTCATGGCCAAGTACTTGCCCAGCCCTCTACGTCCTCCAACTCGTCATCTCCGACTCAGCGCCACCACCACCATGGAAGCGGAAGCGGAAGCGGAAGCGGAAGCGGAAACCACCATCACGGCAACCACCATCATGGCAACCACCAACATGGCGGAAATGGCGGAACCAGTGGAAGCAGCCCCCACCAGCACATATCCGGTGCTGGAACGTCGCACCATCAACAGGGGGCATCCCATCACCACCACCACCTTTCCCAGCCTCTGCAGAGCTCAGTCAGCGCGCACAATATTCGCGGCTGGGGGGAGGGAAAGGACTGTGGCCTGGCGTGTGAGTCCTGTCCTGGGGCTCCGTCCCGCAGCCAGGGGTCCCTGGACCTGGAAAGCAGCACCCGAGAGGCAGGCAAGCAGCGCCGGCCACCACTAGAGCGGATGTGCAGTGTGGACCGCATGACTGGGCTGGAGAGAGGTGAGAGGGGGAGAGAGGCAGGAGAGAGAAAGAGAGAGAGGCTCTGGCCGAGGGAAAGGGGTGGGTTTCAGCCAATAATGGGGGGCGTCGATGTGTTCGATGTGCCGTGGTCTGTATTTTTCCCACTCTCCTGTGTCTCTCTCTTCTCTCCTGTGTGTCTCCTTTGTGCTCTCTCCCTCTGTGGAGTGGATCATGTGTGTGTGTGTGTGTGTGTGTGTATGTATGTTGTTGCTGGTGAATCTGCACACAGTGGCCCCATAAAGTATTTGGACGTTAAACTACGCTTAAATTAATGTTTGAATGCAAGGTTTTATAAATACAGAAGTCCCAAAATTGAGCTTGCTAGTGGGGTTCTTATGTCAAGTGTGATGAAAACGGGTTTTCAATTCAAAATGGTGAAATTAAATGTTTAGTTTTTGCTAATTTCATCTTTATGTCCATTAACTAAAGCGTCATGCTGTAATTCACACTCAGCACAGCCGCTTCTGTGAACATAAAACCTGCGTAATTTGATTAGTCTTCTCAAACATTATTACAATGATAAGAGCTATTTGATTTGGTTATTGTGGCATTGTGCAATATTCTTGCAGCACCAAAGTAGAGTTTATATTAGGCAATTATTTCACATCCTTTATCATATACACCTTGGAAAAATACTTCAATATACAGCACGGCCATGTTACTTAAATATTATACATGTTAACATGCAGTGTTGGGAGTAACGCATTACAAAAGTAATATATTACAGTAACATATTACTTTTTGCTGTAACGCAGTAGTGTAAGGCATTACTAATCAATTTTCAGTAATATTTTACTCGTTACATGTTCAGTGAGGCTTGTATTACAGTTGTATTACAGTGTATTGTCTGCTTTTACTTCTTAAAGGCAACAGACTATGTGAAAGTTTTAAAGCAGTCTTTTAGTGCCAGTTCAGAGCGGTCGCGTCTGTAACATTGTTTTTTCCTCATAATTGCGAACACGAAAACTAAAATAAAATGAATATTTTAAGTTCTATGGAGACTGCAGAGCCAACCCTTCCTCATCCGATTTGCGCAGTGTAATTAACAGAATTACAAAAAATATATTTTGCCTCCTATTTTTTTTTTGTCACGCATGAATGTGTGTCTTTTCCCTAATATTAAAAATAAAACATAGACTGATATTTGTCTAATGTCGGAGTCCTTTAAGGAAGTAGCCTATATACGTTTCAATACATGTATTTTCTGAGAATTTTTATTTCAAGTTTTGACTGCAAATGTCATGTCCATAATGCTGGACTTCCCCAGTTTTAAATAATTTATCCTCAACTAGTTTTGTGGTGTAGGTCTACATATTTTATAATGTTAACTTCAAATAATACTAATAGCCTAATTTTAAGATAAGGTAGCATTGGATCTGGACGGTAAGGAGAATAACGCTGGGAGTTGGAAGAGGTGTGTCGCGATTCTGTAGGTTCGTGGATGTGGCGAATCGCGATTTCGGTTTCATATCGTTAGAAGCCCCAAAGTTAAGTTCTACTTCTGTAGTTATTTTGGTGAAAGTAACTCAAAAGTAATACATGAGTAATGTAACGCATTACAATTCTGAGACAGTAATATTGTAAGGTAATGAATTACTTTTAAATAACAGTAACAAGTAATACCTAATGTATTACAGTTTGGAAGTAACTTGCACAACACTGTTAACATGAGACTATGTGAAGGAATCGCTTACCAACTTTGAGCAAAGTCGGAAACTTTCATCATCAAGTTAAGCAAGTAGTTTTCCAATAGTCTTGAATCAGCAGATGGACATAAACGTCTCTTTCTTGTTTGCGTACATTCATAAGGTCTGACAATTGAAAACCTGACACAAACAAGTCATCTGCTTCTGTATGTCTTCACCTGGATGACTTGATGTACTGGCAACAACCCACAGATGAATCATGGATGAATAACTAGAAGTTCAGTATACAACAGCAGACTTATCACAAAAAATACAATTTAGACAGCTTTAGAGCTCAAATAAAACACATTTTTGCAGGTCTGATAAAAATTTGAACTACACATTTTTTACTGGCACTATTAATTTCTATTGCAAGTGCTGTTTTTTTGTGCTTTTATTATTGTAAAAAAATATTCAATATTTCAATGTTTTGAAAACGTTTATTTAAAAAATATATAAGTGTCATTAGATGACAAAATTATCATGCCAAGTTTATTTATTACATTTATTTTTTGTGAAGTAGCACAGTGTCACTTTATGGGCCCTTTTTTAACGATCTGAAAAGCAAGTATCAAGCGCGAAACGCAAGTAACTTTGTAGGCGGGTCTTGGGCACTGTTTCTCTTTTACCGGCGGGATACAGTAAATGACTCTTGCGCCTGGCGCAAGTTTAAAAGGGGTTGGTCTGAAGTAGCCTCATTATTCATAGGTGTGGTTTGGGCGTAACGTGAAATAAACCAATCAGAGCGTCATCCAACATACCCTTTAAGAGCAGGTATGCATGTTGCATGGCGGATTTACCAGGTGTGCGCCATGAGTGGTTCACAGCCAAGGAGACCAACGTTCTCGTCAGGGCCGTAAAAGACAGAGAAGTGACGTTGTATGGGGATGGGAGAAACCACCCAAATCAGTGTCGGTTTAACATTATATACATACAGTATGTGTCACTATTGGGCAAACAGGTTTGATCCGTCAGTACTACAATTAGCCTGAAAAATTTGGGTAAATGTGTAAGCTGGATCTAGGCCTACATCTTTGTGGACTCCACAATGATTTCCCTTGTGTGTTAATATTTTTCCTTGTTATTATGTATGATTTGCAAAAATAAAAACTGCTGCATCTGTGTTGATTAGAGAATCAAAGTGTATGCGCGTTGTGTTCCCGCTACATTATGGCCAAGCATGCGCGCTTAAAATAGCATAATGAACGCGCAACACGCCACTGAGTTTAGACTAGTGACTTTTTTCTGGTCAGTGGTGGAATTGTTTTCTGGAACTGCAAAATAGCATTAGCAGAATGTTTGTGCTGAAACACGCCTCTTTTTCGCCCAGAGAGTGCAAATTAATTTCCTAGTTTACGGATGTGCGTCTGTGGAGGGAAAAGCCTGCTTTGCGCAGGTGCAAAATAGGAATGATACATGCGTTGGTGTACAAAGTTATATGCGCCGGGTGCAAGATATGAACCTATTTATATATACGATGACATAGTTAAAGGTGCTCTAAGCGATGTCACACGTTTTTTAGGCTAAAACATTTTTTTGTCACATACAGCAAACATCTCTTCACTATCCGCTAGCTGCCTGTCCCCTAAACACACTGTAAAAAATCGTGGTTTATACAGACAACCCAGGCTCCACAAATGGCAACAAAAACAAACTGTGGCAACCCGCTCCACGAAACATAACAAACTGTTCCAGCCAATAACTGACAAGAAGGCCCCCTGGGGTGGAGTTTGGGGGGTTAGTGCGCGGATGAAGAGGAGGGAGGGTCTATCTAGCCTCCGTTTTGTTTGAAAATACTTTAAAAGTCAAGAAGAAGTCACGTCACCCGACATCACTTAGAGCTCCTTTAAATGTAATAATAAAAATAGCTGAGAATAGTAAAGCTAGCACAATTTGTCTAGTGTAGTGAAATTCCTACATTCCTACTGAATGAGACTTATGTATCCAAATAATTTTTGGGGCCACTGCATATGTTTGTTCAGTTCATACATTCAGATGCATCATTTCAACCATCCTATATGCCCTATATGTCTGTTTCTAACCAGACGATAACAGTTGGTTCCCTAAAGAGAACATGTTCAGCTTTCAGACTGCTTCCACAACTATGCAGGCGTGAGTACTCACTTCATTACACATACACACACTGAAGTTTGAAGCCTATATTGACCTATAAGTACAGATGGCACAACAGGTGTATCGCCAATAACACACATTCATTTGTGACATTTACTGTCAAACTGACTCAGAGAGCCGACAAGTACACGATGACCACACACACTTTCTTCAAATGTGGTTGTTATCTAAGCATTCTGTCTGTCTTTCTCTCTCTCTTTTTTGCCTGCCTCGACTCTCCTGCTCTACAGGATTTCGTGAGTATCCCTTTTGTACCCTTTAAATGTCACAAAATGACAGTGTGTGATATCAAACGCTAGCTTCTGCACCACCCCGCCCACCACCATCATCCGCCCAGTCCACCTCTTCAGCTTTATACAGCTAATATGAAAAGAAGCGTTACAGGAGTAGTTTTCTGAGGATCTTTGATGTATTTTTTCTGTAATTGCTCTATAATTTCAAATTGTGTGAGAAACACCAAACCCTTAAATCACAGGTGACATCTACGAAACAAACATTGAGGGTAGCTCAGAGGAAACTGCCATGCCAACTGCCTTTTAGCACCATCAGGATGATAAAACTGAAGTAAAATGATTTTACCTTGATGTATAAAAGAATCACATTGTGCTTTGGTTTGAAAACCGAGGGAATGATTGATGGTGTTTGCTTTAGTGGTGTGTAATGCAGCGATGCGTTTTGATTCAGGAATAGCTTCGAGAAACATGTGATAGGCTGGTCTGGATAATTCTGATTACTCAGCAAGAGACATAGATGTGGTCGTCTTGGATGGTTCGAAATGCTGACAGATGCTGATGCTGAATCATCTTTCTAGAAATTTTAAGTGCCCCATGGAATAATTTGGTTTTGTGAATCATAAAACAGATTAGATTGGATTGGAGGTGTGTGAAATGTATTTATTTGCCTATATTTTATTTACTTGATTGCATCTTTTTTAAATTGTGAGGAGAATTGAGGCTCTGGATTGAATTTCAGTCCATAGGTGATGCAGTTAGTTTGTTATCAGGAAAGAAGGTCAAGATAATCTCTTTATCAACACATCAACAATGAATAAACAGTCTTTTGATTTTCTATGCAAGCCTGTGTTGACAAGAGTCCCGTTTATCCGTTTAAATCCATCCCAGACTCTGCTTGTGGCTTTATTTGCCCATAAGGAGCTCTTTCTGATTAACCCCAGGCTAACACTGCCTTTCATGAGCATGGCTCTAACCTCTAACCGCACTCAAGTGAGCCTTGCCCTCTGCCATTAAAGCTGTGTCACCTCCTGGCAGGGTTTTCCGGAGTCTAGCAGAGAGAAAGAGGAGAAAGAGTGAGGTGGAGTCATCTGCCGTCATCCAGAGGTACTTTGTTGAAGCCCTGTTATTTATCGCTGCCTTTATTCTTGTCAGACAGAGAAATAGCTTTGGCAGTACAGCCCATCTATCTATCGATCTTTCAATCAATCAATCAATCAATCAATCAATCAATCAATCAATCTATCAATCTATCAATCTATCATCTATCAATCTATCAATCTATCAATCTATCAATCAATCAATCAATCAATCAATCAATCAATCA